TCTTCATTTTCAAAATATTTTCTTTCTACTCGCTCAGCATTTTAAGCCTGAATTTTCTTATCTACAAATTGGAACAATAACCTCTAGCTACAAGATTATTGCAGTGATTTAAGAGAGAATATTAAATATAAAGTGCTTGCTACAATGTTGCTTCAGAACAGGTGTCCTCAAACTTATGGCCCGTGGGCTACATACATGCGGCCTGCAGAGGACATTTATCCGGCCTGCCGGGTGTTTTTGCCCCGTTTTTTTACTTCAAAATAAGATATGTGCAGTGTGCATAAGAATTTGTTCATAGTTTTTTTAAAACTATAGTCCAGGTCTCCAACGGGTCTGAGGGACAGTGAACTGGACCCCTGTTTTAAAAGTTTGAGGACCCTGTGATAAAAGACAACATTTATAAAACTGAACTTGAGCTTTAGTAAAGAGTTTGGGTTTGGTTTTATTTCATATCTGGGTAAATTTTAAAGCCTTCTATGCCTACTTGTCCTTTTTTTAAAAAAATTAACTATCGTTTACGTTCTGTACAATTTACCCTTTTAAAGTATACAAGTCAGTGGTTTTAGGGTATCCACAGAATTAGGCAACTCCATTATTATTTAATTCAAGAACATTTTCATTTTCATCACCTCATAAAGAAAGCGTGTACCCATTAGCAGTCACTCCCCATCCACCTGTTCCAACTCACACTCCCGTTCCTGGACAACTGCTAATCTACTTTATGTATTTATGAGTGGCATAGAGAACTACTTTATGGCTTCTCTAGCTGTTTTCCTCCTCGGTGCTACCAAATTACTGCGTCTGATTATGTAGGTGTGAGTTGTTGGTAGCCCATCAAGGAGATTGGATAGCTTGCTGGGACCATACAAATAGAATGTATGAAACTCTAATATGGGAACTGGTCAATTTTAAATTCATCATCGGAGAAACTAGGTTAGCCAGCCCACATATTGAGGAGCTGAGCCCTTTGAACTGGGGGTTCCGCCATAGTAAAGTACTTTTTGGACATTGATAGCAGGGAAGAGGCCAAAGACCAGCAGGGTGCTTGTGAGCAGCTGGGAAGAGGATGTCCTGACTAAGGAACTACATCCTAAGCATTCCTGAATTGTAACTGTTAACTTTCCTAAAATGCCTCATAATCATGAGCCTGTGATTTCTGTGTGGCCCTTGCAACAGATTATCAAACACAGCAAAGGAGAAAATGCCTTAGGAGGGATTAATTGGTGGCGTTGAAATTGGTAAAGGAGGTTAAGAATGAGCCTTGGGATTGTGTCAAATTTCATGTTCTTGCTCCCTTGTGAAGTCAGAATATTCTTAAACTATGGATTTACCTATTATGGAATAGGAGCCCTGGTGGTATATAGTAGCTATAGAGTTAGACAGAGATCCACCAGGTCAGCAGTTCGAAACCACCGGAGAACAGTGGGCTTTCTACTCCTGTGTTGAGTTACAATCTCAGAAACGCACAGGGGCAATTCTAACCTGTGGTATCAGGTCACTATGAGTTGACAGTGACTTGTTAGCAGGGAGTTTGAGTTTGAATATTCTGGAAATTTGACATAAAAGGAATCACACAATATGCTATCGTTAAGCTTTATTCACTTAACAACAGAATGTTTCCATGTTTACCCATGTTGTAGCTTGTATCAGTACTTGGAAGAAAATGTTTTGAAATTGATTGTGATAGCAATTGTACGATACTGCTTGATGTGATTTAGCTGTGGGGTGATCTGATTTCTATATTAGCGCCAGTAAAATGGTTTGGGGGAACAAAACAAAACAAAGTCTCTGCTCTTGAGTTGATTTAGAGACAGAGGGTTTCCCAGGCTGTAAATCTTCAAGGGAAGAGGCTGCCGCCAAGGGCGCCCTGCTCGCTCAGCTTTGCCGGGAGTCGTGCGATTCCGACCGATGGAGGCCGTGGGGCAAGTGGATTCCTTGGGGTTTTCTCCTCCGGGATTAGCCTCGACCTACGCCGGCGGCCCTTTGGCCATCGAACTCGTGTCGGGCAACGGCGACGACGAGGGTGGACAGAACCTTTGGTCCAGCGAGTGGCAGCTCCGAGCCCCGAGTGGAAGAGCTTGCAGGAGCCGCTGGCTGACGATGGAGCTGCAAAAACCAGCTTAATCAGGAAAACTCAGGGAATCGACAAGAAAGGAAGAGGATTGGCGTATTTGTATTGACACGTCCGTGATGCCAACAGGGGGCACGTTGCCATGTGTGGACCTTAGACGGAGACATGGGCCACAAAGGCCTCCTCCCTGGAAGCCGTTCTCTGGAGGACACCAGAGACGCCGGTTGTGGACACGTCAAAGCCTTGGACGACTTTGGGTTCTTTACAGTAACGGGCGAGTGTTGTTAGAGAGCATATTGATAAATTGAAAATTCCTCGTGAAGGGGAAAAAAAGGAACAGAAGCTGATTCGAGCCTGCCAAGACTCGGAGAGCCAGGAGAAGAAGGGCCGCGTCGCCCGAGGAGCCGCTGAGCGGCTGGCCCTCGGGCGGTCCAGTACCGGCGTTTGCAGTGCGGTGCCATCAGTGGATTGGAGAAAGAGCATGACATTTTGGTTTTATTCCGTCACATATCCGGAAGTTCGGTTTACAGTCGGGTGCAGCACTTCCTTACACGTCAGTAAAAGAAAATAAAAATGTAGATTTAGTATATGAATACTTCATTCCGAAACTCTGGGTTTCGGTATGAGATTCCTGCTGATGTAGTGGGGAGAGATGCGGTTTTTATTCTAGCAGGGTGGGATACTGCTAACAGAATAGGAACATTCCATGAAAAATTTTAAACCTTGAAAGCAGATCATATTGAAGACATCGTGACGACGCCACCTGTCCGAAGGCTTGTGCATGAGAAGGAAATTGTGTTTCTTATGAAGCTCCACTCCCTTTTAGCAAAACGGCTACCAACTGCAGCGGAGACCTGTGTGCACCTGCCAAGTCCCAGGAGGCTCAAGAAGCCAGGCAGACGCCTGTCCTATCAGATGTTCACGCAGAATGAGGCAAAATGGCATGAAAACCGGTTATCGTTTCTCCTACACCTACATCCCCTACAGAAGGAGAAGCTTCTCGACGATACCAAATACAGCCTTTATTCGATGTTCC